AAGACTGAAACAATCCTATTTTTGGTTGGAGGCCATTGCTATTAACTCTTCCTATCTGGACAGGTGATGCTGTCATCCTTGTCGGAGACTTTAATGCCAATTCAGCTTCTTTGACGATTCAGGCGGGGGCCATCAAGATCTCCATTTCGTTGATAATGCGGTCAACAGGTCACAAGGTTCCGTTTTACAGGCAGCACAACTTGCTCTACACTTCTTGCCCAGTCACAGCCTATGACCAGCATAAATCCAAAGAGCTGCACTAACACACCATTTGTATTTGACCCCAGCATCTTGTTTCTAGTAGCAAGAATGCTTCTAGTAGTATGGCCAGGAGCTACGTTCGTAGCGTCCTCTTGCTCCATTTGTAGCGATGCCCTTTGTTCCGAACGTAGCTTCTTGTTCCTACTAGTAAGGCCAGGAGCCCCGAACGTAGCGTGCAGGCCTTGTGGTCTCGATTGGTTTTGCTGCAAAGTGGAACTTCTTTTGGCGGAGTCGCACCTTGGCAAATGGGGTTCCGCAGCTTTTCTGCATGTTTTCTTCCGAGCAGGGTGCAGGCCCATCGCTATATTAGGTTGGAGGCCATCGCTAGTAGGGTGGAGAGCCATCGGTATTGTGTTTGAGGACAACATCTTTGGCAACATGGATTCAGACTCTGTGGTGAGCCGTAAGAACTTAGGGAGTGGAGGCAGGAAGCAGAGGCAAAGACGCCGAGTCTCCCCAAAAAAACCAGGAACCACATGAGAGCTGTGTGTGAGCTATGCCGCATCCAGTTTCTATTAGCGTCCTCCAGTGGCCTACCCCGCAGGCTCAACTTAAGACAAGTAAACGCAACGCTCTCCAAGTCCTACCCAAGGCTCAAAGGTGAATCCAAAGGCGTTCTTGTTGTGGACCACTGATTTTCTCTGCGTGCAGGCAGCGACCATGACGCACTTTCAGTCACTGTGGCCATCGGCGAAGCGCCATCGGCCGTCAACGTGACGAATGGGTCGCAGCTCTCGCCAAGGGGTACAGTCAATGTCTCAGCGTTGCCAACGGCGGTGGAGGCCGCTGTTGGGGATTCAGAGGAACTGGACGTGTTGTTGGAGCCAAATTTCAGCCGTGTGTTCTGTGTTTTCATGGAACTGGATACAGATTTTGAGAGTTCTCAGAGACTCAAGAAAATGCCGGTACTGCTACTCTTAGTCTGATGATTCGCCAGCATCAATGCAAGTTCTCTGTGGAAGTGCATTGTTTAGGAATGAAGTATAGTTTCACGGTGGACTTGCGCACTTGCTGTTTTGTGGAAAGCACTTGGTGAGGGATTAGAGAGATGACATGAGAACAAGCTACTAGCGATGCCCTTTGCTCCTAGTAGTAAGGCCAGGAGCCCCTAGTAGCGTCTTGCTCCTAGTAGCGATGCCCTTTGCTCCTAGTAGCTTCTTGCTCCTATGTTGGGTTTCTGAGTTCTCAGTCCAAAACTCGAAAGAAGAGGCAGAAGCTTCTTGTTACTACTAGTAAGGCACCTGTTACTACTAGCGATGCCCTTGTTCCTAGTAGCGTCCTTGTTACTACTAGTAAGGCACTTGTTACCAATAGCGATGCCCTTGTTCCTAGTAGCTTCTTGTTACTACTAGTAAGGCACCTGTTACTACTAGCGTGGCACTTGTTGACATAATTTTTTCCTGGTCCGGTGCATGCGTTGCGTCAGCGGACGCACATATGACATTTTCAGCTGGACCTTGAATGCTACTTCCAGTATCGCTTCTACCTGATATGTATGGTCTCAGCTTTCACTTACACTGAGAACATTGGCGACACGACACCAGTTTGCAGGCAAACTGCTTGGCATGAGAGGTCTGATGTTCCCAATCTGATCGCGTCTTTCGGTGAGGCAGCAGAGGCATTGCAAACTAATCCTCCGGGCAACCGTTGGCAGAACTTTTGGTGCGGTTTGCTCGAGTCAGATGTGGGCTATGCACCTTGGATCACAAAGAGCTTGATGACCAACTCGAGTTAGGCTTTTGCTTCCCCTCACCTTTCCGCCCCTGTCAACATTGAAACGGGAACATTTCAATCTATCTTTGATTCTTCTTTTTTAAATACAAGTCTATTTCTATATTTTTGAAATATCTTTCTATCTATCTTTCTTTCTTTCTTTTTGCGCTAGGTCTTGGCTTCAATGACCCCTCACTACTGCTCACAAGGCTTTTCAGAAGACACTTCCACTGTTGCAAGCACCCACTTTCGAGCGCAAGAGGTCCTCTCTGGCCGGTGGGATGGGAAACTCGACACGGCACGTATCCACGCTGGGCCAAAAGGACTCAACGCGCAACTCAAGCTCCTTTGTGAATTCAGGTGCCTTTTTGCAAGAATGCTCACCAGGAGCTTAAAAAACTCAGACGCTTGCCCAAGAATTGTATTGAGTTTCACATGATCCCAAGTATGGAATGTATGGAATATGAGCCAACACTGGAAGAAAGCATTCTCAAACACGAAGCAAACTATCAAAATACAACGCACAATCAGCTTTCTTCACAATCATAAAAACCCAACAGCGTAGCAAAAACTGCGTGCCTGGCTGTGCCCCAACCACGATGAACCGAGCACAGCTGGGCAAGTCAGCCCGGTATGGATCTCAAGGAAAATGTGAGACATTGGATACTAGCAGTGATGGCCTCCAACCTAGTTACTCTTGGAAAGGATTAATTTGATAAAACATGATGCAAGCATTGTAACAAGTGCCTTACTAGTAGTAGCAAGGACGCTACTAGGATGGTGCAAGCATCTCACTGGCGAAGTTGGAGGGTCAATTGGACTGAACATAGGGCACACGGCGCCCAACAGAAGGGCAACTAAGCTTCCACGCTTGCCACAAGTTGTTGAAAGAACCTCTCAAGGCATGAAATGACGATAGGATTGCTACAGACTACTTACTCTTTATTTATTGTTATTGGCTCATATGACTCATATGCTACTAGGTTGGAGGCCATCACTAGTAGGGTGGAGGCCATCGCAATTAGCTTGGAAGCCATTCTGGGGGGAACACCTTGGTGACCCTTTCGAAGCATCCAGTCCCCCCGAATGCCTTTACTACTAGCGATGCACTTGTTCCTAGCAGCGTGGCACTTGTTTCCAGTTTCCGGTCTGAGATTTAATCTATTTTAAATCTAATTTGTTACTACTAGCGTGGCACCTGTTACTACTAGTAAGGAATGCCTTCGGTTTTGGTTTCGAAAAGCCTAGGTGCCGGTCAACGACACGTGGACCCGAACTGTTCAGCACCAGCCGCGTGCCGGAGACAGCCATGACGTGGCTTCTCCTCAACGTTGCTGCCGTTTGTGTCAACAGGAACCGAGGCGACACCGCTTGGTGCACCCAAGTTGCCGAACTCTGCTCCAACTGGAGCACCGCATCGAACCGGCTTCTTTTGGAAGAGACAGAAAATGACCAAAACAACAAAAGATGCAAACAAAACAAACGCATGACACATCAACTATGGTTCATTCCGGGTCTTTCGCATCTCTTTATATAGACCGAAACCGAGTCGTGACCGACTTCGGTCCACCCAACGGAGAGCACCGACGGAGCACGGTTTCCGCAGGTGCAAATCCTGGACCTGGAAAGATGGAGGGCCGAGGTGCGAAATGTACGGCAGTGCCCCTTGTCTAGCACTGAAGGCAACGAAGGCACCGTTTGGATATCGAAGGGTTTTGAAAGCAAAGCAAAGAAAAAGGAAGGAATCAAAAACACCATGAAATCAGTATGATATATCTAGATATGTGTAGGATCTATGAACCATGTTCAGTTTGGGATGTGATCTTTCAATGTCAAGCTGTTTATGTCCTTTTCTCTTCACAAGTGCTGAGGCGCCACAGAGCAAAGAGCAGGTGCCCGGCTTTGTCTCTGGTCTATCAGCGGTTCAAGCCTCCGCGGAGGCTCCGGTGAAACGTTGGTCGAAACGTCGGTGAGACTCGACCGATCGGACGTGCAAGGAAGACAGTTCCGTCCGACTAAGCAAGGACAAAGAAAAGCAGCAAGTGCTTTTTTGGAAACCTATTCATTTACAACACATAACAACAACGGCTTGCTTGCAAGGCATGATGCTTTTAGCATGTACTGTGTGCAAAGACCGGTGTATTGTGTGTGTGCGGCGCAGGCAGCCCGTGCTGCTCTTCACGCTGTCACCCACATACGCTGAGCTGTTGCTCACATCAACACCTTTGGCTCATCTATTTTGAACACCTAGTAGCGATGGCCTCCACCCTACTAGCAATGGCCTCCACCCTAGTATTGTGTTGAGGAAGTTTAAGCATCCACTGGGTGTGATGAAAATGATACATTAGGAAATAGATAACAGAATAAATAGCATCCACTAGGTCCTAGTTATTGGTCCTGTTTTCATCAAGAAAGACTAGGTGCTTGAGATGACGTCAATACCGACCGATCGACTCAACAGCTCAGCGCATCCTGCCGGACTTGGTGAAGACTGGCTTATTTTCCCTGCGTATGAGGCGATATCTAGACATCCAAGAGATGGAATTGATATCTAAAAGAGAGAAGAAACAAGAAACAACGACGACAGAAAAGAAAAGACTGGTCCAAAAAGATCTTGAGGAAAAAGGAACACAAAGAACAAGAAAAAAAAGGAACAGTGAAGAAGAAACAAGGAAAAACACATCAACGTTTTGACGATTTTGTGATTCCGATCTGCCTGGCATCTGCCTGGCCTCCTTTTGATCCGCGACGGCCAAAAGCACTGGCCAAAGGCGCCAAAGGTGCTGGACGCGAGTTGCGATGACAACCGTAGCCGTAGTCGTCGCGAGAGCAAAGCGAATCAGACTTCAGCTTCTGCTTCCAGTTCCTTCCAACTTACTAGCGATGGCCTCCAACCTAGTAGCAGCCTCCAACCTAGCGATGGCCTCCCACCTAGCAAAATGATCGCATTTTGCACTCATTCCTGGGACCGTCTTTCTTCACTTCGGAGATCGTGCCTCTCGGAGACTTCACCGCGGAACCGACAGGTGGCGCTGTCGGACTTTGGCACCGCGATTCGGTGCGAGCGTCGAGTTTGGTCGAGCTGAACGAAGACAGAGGGCCTTCCATTCCGAACGAAGAGGTGTAAAGGGTCCAAACCAAAATATGGAGTAGTAACAAGTGCATCGCTACTAGGAACAAGTGCCTTACTAGTAGTAACAAGAAGTTATTAGACACAATAAGCTACTAGGAACAAGTGCATCGCTACTAGTAACAAGAAGCTACTAGGGGCTCCTGGCATCGCCACTAGGAACAAGGACGCTACGTTCGGGGATTCTTGTTCCTAGGCCTTGAAGGCGTGGTTTGAGAGACTTTCATTTGGTGGAGTGCAGGGTGGATCGTGGGGAGAAGGTCTACACTCGAGTGGGCACACCTGCCTTTTGGGCTCCGGAGGCAGGAAGAGAAGGTTTTCGATTTTGTTTTTGACAACTTGAACAGTCAACAAGTTTCAACTTGCCAAGTGGTCCGCTCTATTGGTTGGCTTGATCATCGAGACATGTAAATAGGTCAATGGCAGACGTGGAAAGATGCATACTGACAGACTGCGATGTTCTCTCTCTGCGCTGCGTTGCCAGATCTTCGTCGGCGCATACGACTTCAAAGTGGATGTGTGGGTGGGTGGAGTTCGGCACACGAATGTCAAACTCAACGATTTTTGGTTAGTAAGGCACCTTGCCACTAGCTTCTTGCTACTAGTAATGCGCTTGTTACTAGTTGCAATGTACAGGTATTACTAGTAGCTTCTTGGTATTTCTTCATTGTTTCCATCGTTTTCTGAATCTTACAAGACAGCTTCTAACGAATGTCAGACTTAAACCACTGTATGCAAGTGGGTCTTTGGGCATTACTACGAAGAATCATGCTTCTTCGAACAAAAGTCACGACGGGACCATATCTCCAGTGTTTGTGCTTCATATCGGAACGACGCCCATGCCACTCCTGGAGTTCTTCAGACCTGCCAAACCTCGTTGCCCTTGTTTTTCTTTCGCGTTCTGAAGGCTTCGGATGAAGGCCGAAACCGATGGCCTTCCGTTTTCAGGCCTTGGGAGTGACCACCTACATTCTTCTTTGCGGCGCCTTTGCCCTCAGATGTACAGTCATGAGTCAACACTGCTTCACAGCAGTAGAGCCTGTAAGAAGGCATTATTCTTTTTGCCACAATGACCTGTTTAGTGGCAAGCGGTGTTCATTTGGTTGAAGCCTTTCGGGGCGACCTACCGGTCAAAGCGGTTGGCTTCTTGACGTTCGTGCTCTGCGAAACTCGTTCTACCTGCCGACCCATTTAGCAAAGAAACATGTAGCGAAACTCACTGAGACCTTACCCTATGATGGACAAGAGGAGATTTGTCGACGACCAGGCTGGAGACCTTACGCTGCTCTGCGCGAAGAAAACGATTCGAAGAATGAGATGAATTGGTCCGAATGCAGAGCATAATGACTGGAGGAATTGATTTCGTGACCAAATCTCAACTGACCGGTTGATTGATGTCCTGAACATCGGTCATCTCGTTGTTTTACATGCCATCATGTGTCGTTTCAGTTGCCTGTGTCATTCAGTTGTGAGGGTGGCTGGGGTCTTGAAGTATCGAGTATGTACAGTAAGTACCAGTAGTACCCTTCTCTACCAACAGCGATGGTCTCCAACCTACTAGGGATGGCCTACCAGCAATGGCCTCCAACCTAGTTGCAGAGTACCAGTAGCCTTCCCTACGAGTTGCAGACGCTAGTCTTGGCCTTTAGTCTTGGGTTTGGACCAAGGTCTTGGAGCTACCAATAGTGTCCAGACGCTCCCCCCTTTTTTTCCTTTTCTTTCCTTTCTTATTCAAGGCCGTCGCGAGACTCGGATGGCCGGAAAGCGAACAAATCCTTCCCTTAAAACCTCTTTCTAATAGCGAACCTTGTTACTACTAGTAAGGCACTTGTTACTAGAAGCGATGCACTTGTTCCTAGTAGCTTCTTGTTACTACTAGTAAGGCACTTGTTACTAGAAGCGATGCACTTGTTCCTTGTAGCCTTCTTTAAATTCTTTTCCTTTCTCTCCTTTCAGGCCCTGAGGAGCCACTCGTCACTTTACCGCCACACACGACCAAAGCCTGCAGCGACCTTAGGAAGAAGGCAGACATGTCCACATCCAGAATCGCAACGAAAGATGCTCTTCCTCGTGGAAGAGGTGATGTGAAAGCACTGTGGCTGCCCTGGCAAGGCCAAGAATTCCTTGAAGCATGCTTGGTCAAGGCAGGATAGTCGTCCAAAGGTAACATTCTTGGAAGGCAAGAAGGTCAAAATACTAGTAACAAGGACGCTACTAGGTGGAGGCCATCGCTCCTAGGGTGGAGGCCATTCCTACTAAGAACAAGGATGCTACTAGTTGTGAAGACTTCGATAGGAAGGCGCTGTCAAGTGTTTCCACGCGATAACAGGCGCATTGACTGGACATTTTCTGTGACAGCACATGGTTGCTGCTCAAAAAGACATGTTTTGGAGTTGAAGACGGGTTGAATGCTCAACAGCTACTTTTTGTAGATTTTGTCTAGAACACCTGCAAGTTGATTAAAGACAGGTCTTAAGACTTTACGACAGGTCTTGGACGGACACCGCTCTAGGACAGTGAGACTCGCCGTGTGGCTAAAGAGGTCCCAATCTCAGACAACGAAGATGAAGACGAAGTGTCTCAGAAGCTTCGGCAAAAGACACCAAGCTTGAAGAACCGGTCATTTCCGGTGATAACACGAAATCCGACCAGTCCTGGCGCTGCCCTACCGCCCTACCGAAGGGCACGCCGGAAGGTTCAGACCTCCGAATGGTTCCAACGCGAAGCTGAAGATTCTCCAATGGTCGAAGCCTCGAACAGCGAAGAGCGGAAGAGAAGGACCGAAGGGATGACCTCCAACGGTTCTAGCTTGTTTTTAACCAACCTTTTTCGCGATGGCCACGAAGCGTAGCGGCCTCCAGCGACTGAGCCACCTAGAGCGCTGTGAAGACATCGGATCACGACTTCGAGGTCGGTCTAGGACGCGAGGTGAGGTTTGAGGTCTGGAGTTTCACCAGTTTGTAGAATTTGCAGCTTTCTTGTACCAAGTGCATGCATTGAGGGTCCAATACCATAAGGAAAGGCTGTAAAGAAAAGAACTCAGAAAGGAAGGAAGAAAGGACAGGAGGAAGGAATAAACGAATCTAAACATATGACAATATCACACTGAGCAATCCTGTGTCTGGCCTTTGTGGCCCCAGGCTGCGGAGAAGGAGGAGGCGCATTTGCATTTCGGGCTTCAGCAAAGAAGGGATGTCGCACGGGCCAAGTAGTAGTATTAGTAGTAGTAGTAGCAGCAGTAGCAGTAGTTATGTTATGTAGTATGCCTATGCAGTATGTAGTATGTTGTAGTAGCAGCAGGAGCAGTAGTAGTAGCAGTAGTATGTGGTGGTGGTGGTGATGGTGGTAGTAGTAGTAGGAGTCGTGCTAAAAAACAACCAGCTGTTAAGTTTGCCACCAGTAGTTGAGTTTGAGTGCTTATGTCAGCTCAGTCGAAGCAATTACGTTGAAAAGTGAAGGGACGGGAATGACGTCTATGACGGCTCCGCAAGTCATATTCTTGGCAACAAAGATGGAGGCCTAGTAGGTTGGAGGCCGGACAGCCTCCAAGTTGGACGCCGCTCTTAGGTTGGAGGCCATTGCTATTAGGCTTTACTTTATTGGCCTTACTCCAACACTGTGGTTTTTCATATTCTTGGTGCTTCCAGGCTCCAAAAGACAAGTTCCGTGACCTGTTGGAAGGCGACGGTCTGCTTGCGCTTTTCGACCGTTTCTCCACCCGTCATTCGTCCGAAACAGGAGTCGTTTGTGCGACAGACTGGGACGAGTTTCGTTGCACGGTTGCCGACGCCCAAGTGTTCATAGCTGTCACACCTGGCAAAGACCAAGGTCTTACGGTAACCTGCTGTGGTGCTATTAAGCTCTGCTGCAACCTCAGTGACGGTCGCAAGAGAGAAATGTTCGGGGTGCTTCTGATTTCCGAAACCAGATGCGAATGCTTTAAGATCCACGTTCTCTACTAGGAGCAAGAAACTTTTTAGTAGGTCTTTGAAGCTTCTTAGTAGCAGAATAGCTACTAGTAGCGACCGAAGCTTCCTTGGGAAGCGTTTCACCTGTAGCAAGAAGCGCTATGAGTAACGGAGTAACAATAGCTCGAACGTGCTTCTGAAGGTTTGGACTACTTCTGCGACGAAAAGCAGGCGAACGGGATCGGCTGGGCCGGACCAGTTGGAACGCCTGTTGTTTTGGAAGGCTTCTGGTTTTCCAGTAGCTTCAAAGACCTACTAGTAGCTCCTTGCTCCTAGTAGTAAGGCCAGGAGCCCCTAGTAGCATTCTCGTTACTAGTAAAAATGCTACTAGTAGCAATGCCCTTTGTTACTACTAGCGATGCTCTTGCTCCTAGTAGCTTCTTGTTCCTAGTTCCCTTTGCTACTAGTAGCTTCTTGCTACAGGTGAAACGATTTCCAAGGAAGTTTGTAGCTCCTAGAAAGCTTCTTGTTACTAGTAAGGCCAGGAGCTACGTTCGTAGCGTCCTTGCTCCTAGTAGCGATGCTCTTTGTTCCTAGTAGCTTCTTGTTCCTAGGCCCTTTTTCTCTCTTGCTTTCAAGAAAGCTGCCCTCCACAAAAAGCCATTGAATTGTTCGGACACTTTTGAATGAGATGATCCTTACAGAAGGTGGAAGGCAGATGTTCATTTAGACTTTTTTTTTTGGATCATTGTTTCGTTACGATGTTGTAGGTTCAGTGTACACACTCTTTGAAGGGCCTTCATTGTACGAGGTTTGCTGAAATATGTTGTGGGCTTGATAAATACTTGGCAGCCTTGCCAGAATCATCCAACACAGGTGAATGCTAGGTGGCTAGGGAGTGTATCCTGTGGGTCGATTTTGAGGTAGAAGATGACCACAAATTATTCAAAATTATTCAAGATCAACATTATTCAAATTGTAATTTTGGAAGGCCTGCTAGGCTGGCCTTTGGGCTTTGTTGAGCTTTGTTGGGCTTTGTGTCATTTTAGGTTTGTGGCCATTCCTTGTGACGTAGGTGGCATTTGTGCAAGGTATGCACTCCACACCTAAGGCCTTGCCTTGTGAGTTTTGCAGGTTTTGGACCTTGGTTGTGTTTTTTTCTGGGCCGGGACACCAGGTGGAAGCTGCTGCAGCGCGCTGGTCGAAAGCTTCCACCAAGTCCTCTGGGAAGGCGATGGGTGGATTTCAAGCGAAAAGGCAGATTTCAAGCGGCGACACGCCGATGTGGAGTTTTCTCCATCGAGGTCGCGTCCGGAAACGTTGATTTCAAGCGATTTCAACCTAAGAGCGATGGCCTGCTACCTATACCAGCGGCCTCCAATGTTTGCCGTTTTGAAGTGGATAGAACGCGTCGCAAAGTTGATCGGAGAAAAGCGTCGCAAGAGATGCTACTAACAAGAACGCTACTAGGGGCTCCTGGCCTTACTACTAGGAGCAATGTTCGCTATTAGAAACAAAGGGCATCGTTAGAAACAAGAATTAGAACGCACAAGCGTCGGTTTTTTTCCCGTCCAGGCGAAGACACTCTCTGGCCTCGTTGAGAAGGACGTTGTGCCTGTTTTTTAGGTCTCGAGATGCTTCAAGTATCCTATTAGGTTGCTTTTAGGTTGGATTCCTACTGCATTTTTTCCATGTAAAAAAGGGAAAACACGTGAGCAGGCAAGTTAATCGAAGTGGCCAATCCTATGACTGATCGGTCTTGTTTCAAGGTCTTGTTGGAGGCGGGTTACCTGGTTCCCTGATTTTTCGAGAGTTTGTCAGGATGTCTTTGAGAAGCAGGCAACGGATCTCTCCAAGCAGATCTCGACAAGTCTTTTGCAGCATCAGGAGATTCCGCTGTTGTTTTCCTTATATAAGTCTTTGACTCTTGGCATTTTCTAAGAGATGGCCTCCAACCTACTAGCGATGGCCTCCAACCTAAGAGCGATGGGCTCCAACCTAGAAGCGATGGCCTCCAGCTTGTGTGGCTTGGGGTTGACAGTTTCAGCACATGTACTAGCGTGTGAAGGATCCTCGTTCTCAAACTGTAGGACTCTCTGCGACATTGAGCAGTGACTTCGTTCATATTTCAGACTATAGATGTAAAAATTGCATGGATTTTGATGAGGAGACTCTTGAAAGCAGCAGTTGGACACAGTCGATGTGATGTTTTCAAAAGGACAAGATGTGATGTTTATTGCCTTTTACTTTCTTTCTAGAACCAACTGCTCATTTTGATTATTTTCAGCTCGTTATCATTCTGTTGGATTTTGGCTGCTTTGGTTTGCCTCGGTTCCATCCACTCGAGCGAAGTGCTCGAGCGAGATGGACCCGATCCTCGTCTGGGCGCAGCTTGCGCAACCTGCGCAGATTGCGCCGCTCGCGCTCGAGAGTTTTAACGCGGACACTGCGTCGACATGAGTTTCATGCAGTGAAACCTGGCGGGCGAATGGGACACGGCACAGATGCATTGATGTCTCGAGTGTCTCCAGTGTCTCGTCTCCTTGAAGAATGCACTTGCTTCGCTTGCTTCGCTTTGCTTCGCTTTGCTTCGCCTGGAGACGATACGAGGAGTGAAGACCTGGATTCGCAGTCCTTTAGCAACTTGATGCTCAAAGCTAGATATAGCAGCATGGAAAGGTCTGGGTTCAGCTTGAAATGCATCGGCGCATTAGAAGGTTCCCCAAAAAGAAGCGACAAAATCAAGCCTCAAATGGCTGAGGAAGGTAAGGTCGTACCCTCGCGGAAACAGCTAGGTCCGCCCAACACAGGTTGCACCCATTGCCACACAGAGACCTCTCTGAAGCGACGCGAGCAGATACGACGGCGTCACAGCCATGGTCCGGCCCTGAGGTGTTGAAACAGTCTGTTCCTTTGGCTGTTCCTGGCATTTTGCTTTCTTCTTTACCGTAAAAAACACGACCTTTCTCTCTTTCTTTCTCATTCTCTTTTCAGATTTTGGGGCTTTTTCTTTCTTTTTCGACGCATCTGCGGTCCATCTTTGTCCGATCAGGTCGACTCGATCCGTTTCGACTCTGAGGCGATGCGAAGCGGCGCAGGTTCGCTTCGCGACGCTTCGCGTCGCGTCTCGCATCGAGCGGAGACCGCGACGCACGGCACGGCCGAGGACCCCGCCTTTTGGCCTTTGGCTTTGCGTTTGGCTTCGCGTTTGTGCATCCGAAGCCAGGTGTGGAAGGTGTGAAAGTATCAGTCGGCATCCTCTTCTGCCCTCCCTAGATAGCAAGCTGCAAGCAGATGGCAAAACAATTTCCTTTTGGCTTGAAACACTGCTTAGAAACGGCCGGTTCGGAATGACTGCCTCACCCCTTCCTATTTGCAAGAAAAAGGACACAAGGAAGAAGGATATGAATATGATTGAATATGTCTTTAAGCAGAACACGGTTTGGTTTCTAAAGCAGCTTTCTTCGCTGAAACCGCACTCGACACGTTTTCGTTCCCGTTTTCGCTGCGAAAGCGAAGCGGAGGCGTTCGTCGCACTCAGATGCGAGCAGGACCTGAGGCGTTGAACTCTGTCGCACAAAGCCCCGAACGTAGCGTCCGATCGCTCCTAGTAGCGATGCCAGGAGCCCCCAGTAGCGAACATTGTTCCTATCTTGATCTTTTTTGTTCACTTTGTGACTTTGTGTTTCATTTGTTTGCTGGTTTGTTTTAGTTTGCTCTTTCTACAGTTGTTTTCAGATATCCTTTTTTGTTTGTTTTCGTTTATGCAGGTGAAAGGCAAACTGACGCCGCTCTACGATTACGTCTTGGTGAAGTCAAAGGAGAGGGCTTTGGGAACTTCAAGTCCTAACCTCATAGACTCAAAGCTTCCAACCTTGATGGCCTCCACTCTAGTAGCGATGGCCTCCAACCTAGAAGCGATGGCCTGCAACCTACTAGCGATGGCTTCCACCCTAGTAGTGGTGGCCTCCACCACAGCCTCCAACCTAGAAGGGATGGCGTCCAACCTACTAGCTTTGGGAACTTCAAGTCCTTTTGAACCTACTTGGAGCCTACTTGGAGAGCCTACTGAGAGCTGTCGAAAGCGATCGACATCGTCGTTGCAGTCGTAGTCCTAAAAGGTCAAAAGAAACCGAGAGAAAAACAAATTCGAACAAAGGTCATGAAAGGCCTAAAGCCTAAAGGCGTGAAGAAAAAACAAGCTACTAGGAACAAGGGCATCGCTACGAACGGAGCAAGAGGACGCTACGAACGTAGCTCCTGGCATTACTACTAGTAACAAGGAGGCTACTAGAAAAACTGCGCAGAAACGAAGATTTCTTCCGTCCAAAAGCGACAGGAGGCGGTGACCAGCACAAAGTCAGGTCTTTTGCTGCCGAGCTCTTCGGACAGGGTGGGAATGAGGAACGAATTGGAGGAAATTAGGAAAATTAGAAGAATCATTTTCTTTCTAAGAGTGATAGCCTCCAACCCTACTAGCGATAGCCTCCAACCTACTAGCGATGGCCTCCAAGATAAGCGTTTAGACATTTAGAAGAACAATTGTTTTCTTGCGTGCTCCTTGAACTACTATTTGACTTAAGAATCATTTGTCACGCGTTTTTCCTTTCCCGCATTTCCCGGAGTTTCTTGACTTTTTTGCCATAACAAGCAGAAGAGGTCTTGTTGGCGGTGTTAGTCTAGTCTGGTGTTAGTCTAGTCCTTTGTTAGTTCTTTGGATCGCGCTCTATAGAGTTTCTTCGTGCGTTGAGACTTTCTGGACACGAATTCATGCAGCTTTTAGATCGGAATTCTTGCGAAGCCGATCTCCCATTCCCGAACGTTTCGAGTCGTTCGAGTCGTTCGAGAAAACATGAGATGTTTGCATCTCAAAAAGGGCCTTGTTGGTTTTCGAACTGAAACTTGTGATGCAGCTGTTCCTTTTTTCGGTCCAGAAAGAGCGATGTAGCTGCAGCTCCAATTTTCTGGTACAACTGTAGATTCTGTAGATGATTCTCGAGGTTCTTCTGCAGAGTTGAAATGAGCCAACTCGTTATGCCGAAATCATACTCATGAAAAACATTGCTTTTAGGAGCAAGGATGCTACGTTCGGGGCTCCTGGCCTTAGGAACAAGAAGCTACGAACAAAGGGCATCGCGGCATCGAACGGAGCGATCGGACGCTAGGGGCGGTTGGAGGCCATCGCGTCGACGAGAGGAGAAGCCCAGCGAGGGTGAAGTCGTGGCAGTTGGACCCGGCTCAGTGAAGGACAAACCACGCGAATCGCGACGTTCGAAGGAACAAAGAAAGATGAACACAAAGCGTCACAATGAGCAGAACAGAAAGAAGAAAGAACTAAGAACAGAAAGAAGGAAGGTTAAGGTCGAGAATCCCTCCCGATTTCTCGCCTCTGCATGCGGAAACTGCGGCTTGTAGTGAGAAGATGTTGAACGTCCAAGTACCTCAATGCTTGCGAAATCGGGCAGGACACCGGGGTGCAAATTCCCGTTTGGACTCAGGCTCGCAGCTTTCTTTGCATTTTTATTTGATCGAAGAGAAAGAAGTTCAAACGATCAGAGGCTGGAATGAAGATTCTTCATGGCAAGTATGGTGTGGAAGAGGTGCGGTGTTGCGGGATGGACAAAGCAAACTCATTGGGAATAAGCAAATCATTGAACATAAGCCAAGAACAAGAAAGGAAGCACATGATTTCGTCCCTTTTCATTCCACTTCGACAGCAAGGTCACTTACAACGACGAGGAGCATGTTCTTGCCCAGAGCCTCAGCCTGGGGCATGAGCTTGGACGGAATGAAGATGAATGAGCTAAGAAACTCTTGGATGTCCTAAGAGTCTTGCTCACTTCACTAAGAACGAAGCATGAAAAGCCTTCACCAAGGATGCGCTGCTTCGTTCAACTGGAACTCTGAGTCACTGACTTTTCTCCGCATAGCGTGCCCCACTCGAACTTGAATTCGAACTCGAGGTGGAACAGTGAGAACTCAACCCTGGAAGCATAGAAGGCCTCGAACTCGAAGTCGATCTCGAATTCGAGCTGGAACAGTTAGAACTCAACATTGGAATTCTAGTAGGCGAGTGATGTTCCGGGTGTCCGGGTGGCTTAGTTCTTCACTTCTTTCGGGTTTCTTTGGCTGTGAAATGGGGCTCAGGGCTTCACTACTTTGGGGTTTGTCTCGCTTGGGCTTCACTTTGGGGTTTCTTTGGGCTTGTCTTGTCGGGGGTTCACTGGGCTTGAGGGTCTCACTGCGTTGAAGGTTTTTTTCGCTTGGCTTTGCGCTTCACTTCTATCGGGTTTCTTTGGCTTGTGGGCGAGACGGGCTTCACTTCTTTAGGGTTTCTGGTTGGACTTCTAGAGCTGTCTTTAGTCTTTACATTACCTGTCTTTACCTTGTCTTTGCGTTTGGCAACTTTAGGTTTTTTTGTGGTTCGGCTGGCGGGTTCAGGGTTTCTCTGAATTTGGCTTAAGGCTTCCCTTCTTTAGTTTTTATATAGGGTTGCTTCACTGCTCTCTTGACTTCTTACTTTAGGGTTTCTTTGGCTTTGGCTTACGGGATTTAAATGGATCTAATGATTGGACCTTGTATACCGGAGTTTTGTCGTTGCGGTTTACAACTTTGTTCGAGCAATATTGTTTGGAAACGGTAGCCTATGAAAGATTGCAAAGCTTGATCTATTTCGCCAAAAGCCTTTTCCCAATCTAGAAGAATCAAGCAGAGATTTGTCTCTCAGAGATATCCATTTCAAAATCAAATCTAGTCGCATTTTTGGTAAAAGGTTTGCCTTCTTTGTAAATGGAGCCTTCTTTGCAAATGGAAGCTATATTTGCACGGCCATGAAAGCAACCATTTTATAGGTCATGTAATCTGCGGATGGGCTCCAATCGATTGCATGTCCACATCCTTTTACAACTGTAAAACGCCTCGAAAAGGCTCGAAGTTTCCAGATTTCGAATCCATTGTGCCGTTCACGAAGCCACAGCAAACGCCTTTTGCGTGCAAACACCTTTTTTTCGTTCCACAAGTACAATGTAGCTGACAATTCTTGCTAGTCCCCCCTAGTTAGGGGTAGGGGTTAAATTGTTGCGTTTGCGCATCTATTCGCGAAACGGAGTTCTGTTCGCTGTCTCTGTTTTATAAGCTCACGCACTTCATGCATATCTGTATACTTGTTAGTGGAACAAGCGCCTTGCTTTTCCAAGTCATGTGCTGCGTGATTGGCAAGGGCGATTTCCGGGTCGAAGCAGTTGAAGGGGGTCCGAAGACCGTGTTTTCATTCAGTCGTTTTCGCAGAAAGAAACATGGCAATTGCTGCGCCTTTCATGGTCACAGCGCCGTTTCGTCCACGACGCAATCCAAAAATTGCATCGAAGCATCACATGCCATGCAGTGCCATGGACATTGTTCGTCGCAGAGTCCATTTGCAATCAACACAGGGTTTTGAAAAGACGAGTTCAATGTTACGAAATAGAAAGCTACGGCATTTTCATCAGCAAGATATTCATTTGTGATAACATTTGCTGCTTGACAGCGCAATTCGCCCCTCATGTCAGCTGGTGCGTACATTCGAACAACCATTCCTGGATATGGTTGCTTTGACATTCCCTTGGCCACTTCAAACACAGCTGGTGGTACAATTTCTTTGCTGCAGCAGTATTTGCCAGAGCGTCCGTGGCATGGCAACAAAATGCTCTCGTGTGGACTTTGTCAACTACAACCCGAGGACATCATTGATTCCCGCTGCAGTGCTTTGGTTTTCACCAACTACTCGGAGATCAGCAACCAGGAGATGGGATGATACTGGGAAACCTGAGCAGGCGATAGATGTGGTTGTCGATCTAAGGTCCTAATAGGTAGCGTTGATGACGATGACCCTGGAACATGTCAAAACCTCATTTGGCGAAAGTTTTTCTCGAGTAAATATTTTTGGCGAAAGATATGGCTAAAGATGTT